GCCCCCCCGGTCCAGCCCGTCTCTGCGGCCGCACAGCCAATCCGGGAGCGGGGAGCGTGGCCGAACGAGGGGCGCCGCCGGGGCGTCGGGCCTATGAGCGTGAGGCCGAGCCTCTTCTGAACCGAGGGGGTGGAACAAGCTCCCTCGTCTCTCTCCTCACTGGCCCAGAGCCGTGCTCATGGCAGTGGCTCCCCCCCGCCGCAGCCCGGGGCGGGGCCCGGGGGGTTCCTGCCTTAGCTGGGAGAGGCGCTTGCGAGGGCAAGGAGGCAGCAGAAGGGAGGTGCCGTTCGGGGCTGGTTCTGCACAGGCTCCCTGCAGCTGCCACCGCTTTGGTCCCTGCGGTTTAACTTGTATCTAGGGCAGGGCGACTCAACTTGGGAAGCCACAATGATCCTCACAGCACATACCGTGTGGTTGCAGATACATGCAAATAGCTTATTTCACACAATGCCCCAGTGCTCCCAGCACCTCCTCCCTGGAGCTAGAAACCCCAACACCCTGTGACTGACTGTTCCAGCCGGCCCGACCGGTGCATCTTTCAGTGCTCACCCCGCCTGGGAGAGGCCTCACCGCGGTTGTGGAGCGTGTTCCCAGTGGAGGCATAAGGGATCATTCGACAATGGCTTTCCCTGTTGATCGATCCACGTCTTGACTGCCACGTTGTGCCGACAATCAGCTGAGCCTGCCATTTTTTTTAATGAAGGGGGGGATATTTAAATCCCCGCTTCATTGACTATGTCGGTATGTCTAATGTACATGTCTCTGTCAGCAGAGGCATGTAGTCTAGACATACCCTATGTAATTGGGCAACAAAATAGCAAATGAAATTTAATGTTGATAAATGTAAAGTAATGCACATTGGAAAAAAATCCCAGCTATATGTACAATATAATGGGGACTACTTTGGCTACAACTAATCAACAGAAAGATCTTGGAGTCATTGTGGATAGTTCTCTGAAAACATCCACTCAGTGTGCAGCAACAGTCAAAAAAGAAAATAGAATGTTAGGAGTCATTAAAAAAGGGATAGAGAATAAGACTGAAAATATCTTATAGCCTCTATATAAAACCATAGTATGACCACATCTTGACTATTGTGTACAGATTTGGTCACCTCATCTTAAAAAAGATATATTGGCATTGGTAAAGGTTCAGAAAAGGACAACAAAAATGATTAGGGATTTGGAATGGGTCCCATATGAAGAGACATTAAAAAGACTTGGACTTTTCAGTTTAGAAAAGAGGAGAATAAGGGGGGATATGATAGAGGTTTATAAAATCATGACTGGTATGGAAAAAGTGAGTAAAGAGAAGTTATTTACTTATTCCCACAATAAAAAAAATTAGGGGTCACCATATGAAATTAATAGGCAGCAGCTTTAAAACAAACAAAAGGAAGTTTTTCTTCACACAGCACACAGTCAACCTGTGGAACTCCTTGTCAGAGGATGTGGTGAAGGCTAGAACTTTAACAGGATTAAAAAAAGAGCTAGATAGATTCATGGAGGTTAGGTCCATCAATGGCTATTAGCCAGGATGGGTAGGAATGGTGTCCCTAGCCTCTGTTTCTCTGGAGGTGGGTGACAGGGGAGGGATCACGTGAGGATTACCTGTTGTGTTTCCTCCCTCTGGGGCATATGGTATAGGCCACTATTGACAGACAGGATACTGGGCTAGATGGACCTTTGGTCTGATCCAGTATGGCCGATCTTATGTTCTTATGTCGACTAACCGATAAGAATTCATGAGGATACTTGACTATTCAATTAACTGATATTTAACATCCCTACCTTATACTCCCACGTCCTTGCAGCCCCTGGCACATCCCAGTTCTCAATAAATGCTCTTCTAAAATTGCATGAATTAATTTGAAATTTTATTGGCAAAGATAACAACAAAAAAATCAACACAGCTTTTCAGTGAGACTGTTTAGGAAACAGCACTCATACAAAACCCCAGCTCCCAGCCGAAAGCCCCAACCACGTCTATAAACACTATCATTAATCATGTTGTGTATTGTGATGGTTTCTAGAGTCCCAGTCATGGGCCAGGATCCCATTGTGCTAGGTGCTTACACATGCAAAACCAAAAGATGGTCTCTGGCCCAAAGAGCTTGCAATTTCAGGCCACATCTACTCTCAACAGTTTTGACAACAGTATTTTTGCCACCATACAGCTGCAGCTATTCCAATATCAGTAGCACAGTCTTTGCCAGAACCGTACAGTCTCACCATGGAAGGCTGTGTCAGCAAACAGCACACTGCAATGTGAATAAGTGTAGCAGTGCCCCCTGTGTCTCTATCTGGCATGCTGCCTTGTGGGTCATTTCTGAAGTAGGGGCAGGGGCATTTTGTTCTGCATTTGTAAAGCATGGAGCACCAGAGGACTCTGACTTGGTTCCTACAGTAACACAATATAATAGTAATTACCAGTACCAGCCCTCCCATTGGGTGAACGCTTGCCTAGGTCTAAGTAAGGATAAAAGGTGTGTTTTTAACACATTCAAACCCCAGTATAGACAAAATTATTGTGGGTTTACCTTGGTAAACTAACATGCTAAAATTGCAGCTCACCTGGGCTGCATTATGATTTGAACATGCCAACAGGTTTAAGTAACAGATGTGGGCTCACACATGTTAAAAATCACACCTTGTTCTCTAGGTAAGGCACGATCCCACTGGAATGTAGCCAGTGACTGAACCTGCATTTGTGCTAAACGGAGCCTGCCTAATGTCCACAGCATACCCATAATGCTCCAGAATTGAGAAAGCATAGCCCCTACCTTGTCAGGAGCTGTACGTTAGTATGGGATTTCAACCTATTCTGCTGGCATTAGAGGAACAGGGCTGATGACTGTGAGTATTTTAATACACCCAAGTTTTAATAAATCTCCAAGTGCCTCTACTGCAAAATGGGCAAAGGAGAATTGCTGTACAGCCGAGGGCAGGACAGAATATCCAGACTCCCAGTGCCCCTGATCTAACCGCTAGATCTCCCTGTCTTCCTGGAGCTGGAAACCAGGGAGCCTGACTCCTAGCTCTCTGCTGAGGCCCCCTCACTCCCAGAACTAGAAATACAACTGAACTCAACTCCCCTCCCCGCCCCTCCCCCATCCTTCCAACCACTAGACTCTACTCCTAGAGTCAAACCCAGATGCCTTGACTTCTAGTCCAGGCTGTGTTTATGCCTTTGGGAAACTGGTTCACGACTGAAGGGGACTGGGCATCGTTGTCTGTGCCAAGCGCATGGCATATGGTACAGCTTAAAAGCCACACAGGTGGAATCCTGTGCTGGGGAAAGGACGCAGCGCGGGCTATGCTACTTGACACAGCTGCCGTGGATGAAGGAAAGGAGGGGCATTTCTGGGAAGGGAGGGGTGGGCACATGGCAGGTGATCCCTTCCTTCTTACTACTCAGGGTCACGTTGGTGGAGTGCAGCCAAGCCTCCAGGTCCAGCAAGCTGCAGTGGCAAAGCAGAGAGACCTCCTGGAGATTCAGGAATGCTAGTGCATGGAGCGGCTCAAAAACAGACGGTGACAGAGTCATCAAGTGGTTACCCTGCAGCCCTAACACCTGCAGGGAATGCAGGTCCTGGAACGACCTGTCTGGGAGCAAGGCTATGAGGTTCCCAGAAAGATCCAGAGCCTGGAGAGACACCAGTCCCTGAAATAGACCCTCAGGCAAAGTCTGGAGGTTGTTTCTGCTGAGATTCAAGATCATCAGCCTGTCTAGATGGTGGAAGACATCCACACAGCCCCCTGAATTCCAGACGATATTCAGAGAGTTCTGGGAAAGGTCCACCACCCTGAGCTGGCTTTGCCTGGGTGTGGCTCTGTCCTGGTGCTCAGAGCACGTTGAGAGCAGGTTGTGTGATAGGTTCAGGAACTGCAGGGTAGGGATGCCCCTCAGCTCGTTCCAGATGCCTCTGAGGTCTTGCATGCGGTTGGAAGACAAGTCGAGGAAGGTCAGGTTTGTGGAAAGCTTCCCAATCCCCCAGGCATGCTTGATCCTGTTCTGGCCCAGCAGCAGGCGCTCCAGGGCAGGGAGTCGCCCTGGCGGTATGCGTGAGAGGGCATTGTCCTGCAGATCCAGCATCCTCAGAGTTCTCAGTCCCTCCAGGGCATTGTGCTGGATGGCCCCAATGTGGTTGGACTTGAGGTTGAGGTGCAGCAGTGGGGATTGGCTTAGGCGCTGGAGAACCTCCGTCTTCAGCTCCCCCAGCCGATTGTGAGAGAGATCCAGG